TCCTTTCCAGGGTTGAAACAGAGTGACTAATTGATTTGGTGCTTACGGTGGGACTAGAACTCAGTCTCCTGGTTTCTAACCTGATGCCTTAACCCAGTGATGGCGACCCTTTTAGAGACCGAGTGCCCAAAAACCGCCCCCGCCCCCGCTCGGCCCCCACCCTGCCTCTCCGCAGGGCCACTCACCGCCTCCAGGGCCCGCCGCAGATCACCCAGGCAGCCCAGCAGCACCATGGCGGCCATGCCCTCTGCCCGCGTCCCGCAGCATCAACTGTGCGTGATGGGGCGGCAGAGTCTTGTCTACGCTGCCTGGCTGCCATGTCCTTGGCTGCGCTGCTCCGCGTGGGCCACGCTCAGGGGCGACTCTCCTCCAGGGGGGCTGCTAGTGAAGAGGGGGTCGCAGGGGGAGGCAAGGCTGGGACAATGGCACGTGTGCCCACAGAGAGGGCTCTGAGTGCCGCCTCTGGCACCCGTGCCATAGGTTCGCCACCACTGCCTTAACCACTACATCAAATTGGGTCTAATAGAGGAAACCTTAATCAAATAAACAAGGTTTATTTCAGAATATTACTTTGATTATCACTCTATTAACAGGTTGGTTCCCTTTAGAGAACACTGTAAAAAAAATTCACAATCTCCTTAATTCTAGCCCAGTGCTAATTGATGGTGGTTAAGGCATCACTACAACAAACTAGCTCTAAACAATATTTACAGCAAGTAAATTAAGATGATTGCATTTCTACCTCCATAGTCACATAACCACAATTCCAAAATATAAAGCTTCTCTACAGATCACATACTATGGTGCTGGAGAGAAAGCAAAATATAACGTGGTATACATGGAAGCAAGATGTTAAGAGTTGGGAAGAAGCTGTCCAGGGGATTAATATGCACCTTGAAAAGTTCACAAGAGACTAAATGTATTTCATGAATCATTACTATATATACAAACACTGTAACCTTATATAGAATTTCAAATATTTGAACATTCAAATTACCAAATTTTAATATTCTGTTTTCTGATCGCTCATGCAAAGGAACTATGCTATGCGTTTCTATACCAGAAGAATTTGCATATGCAGTTGTCTTGTGAAATGAACTCGGGAACACAGTTAAATAAGATCTATGCAACCATACATTCAATGCATATAACTGAATGGACAAAAATATTCAACATTATTAGGATTGTTTTATTTATAATTATTCAGATTTATTATCTTCAAGGAGTAATCAAGGTATAGCATGATAAAGTGTTAAGAAATGTAAGAGATTTCCAAAAACAAATGCTGTTGACCAAACAGCTATATTTATGGCTACGTTTTCAGACAAAATGCATGGCATTGGCTTTAAAAGGTGAACGTAACTCTTTAAAACCAATTCCTGTTTGACTTGGAACAGAAAAGGAGCTTAATGGTATATTGATGGTCATTTCTCTGCACTTCCAAAATGTTGCAAGACTGCGCACACAGCTGTGAGACAGCTGAAAACATCTGTTTGAGACAATGTGTAAATAAACATGTTAGAATTATTTCCAAAATTCTATATTCAGCACGACATCAATACTTCTTCAGTCTAAAATGGTATCATCATTTAGAAGAACTACAGTTTTATTTTTGAACTCTCATCATAAACTTCCCCTACAAAAAAAGGGGAAAAAAATCTATATCACGTATATCAGTCTCTAAGGCTGGAAACTGACTTGGTTAAAACCATATGGGAAAGGGAAAGGGAAAGGGTCATCAATTAAAAACAGAAATCTAATAAATCCAAAATATTTCCAAATGAAATACTTGTGGTAAGCCAATTTCTTGTAAACACTGCAGTCCATTCTCTTGAACAGTCCCAGATGGTGTGCTTGCCTTCATGGTCTTAAAAAATTGGGAGGGGAGAGGTTTAAAAACAGGTCTGAGTGAGCATAATTCTGTCATCTAGCTTACAGAGAATATGATATCCTCAATCAATCAATGTGTTTGTTATCCAAAATTACAGACCGTAAAAGCTTTACTTGAAATGGTAATTTCATCAAATCTCACCTTTCTGCTTGCCAAATGGAAAACATAAATGCAGAAGTAAGTAAATGAACTTTAATATATACATATAAGCACTATCCTAAGTTATTCCTAAGCCCATATGGCTGGAACACAGAGGAAAGCATCTATATTCTATTAAAACACTCATCATGACTTTTAACTGGGTGAAATGGTACATCATAGTGCAAAAGTTTTTGAACCAAGGTACCTCAAATGGTCTAACTTACAGAATGTGTCCAAAATCTGGAACCCATGACTTCTACATTTGTGGCTGCTTCAGTGCTACTGATTGCTGCTATGCTGCTGATGCAGACATGTGATCTTCATTTTAAATGTTATCTGAGTTTCCAAAACCAGTCTTGCAATCTCCCTGTTCCTCTCCAATTCAGCAGCAGACACTTACCAGTGGGGTAAGTGTCTATGCATCCTTCCTGGTCCGCATCACCCCCTCCACACACTCCACCAACTTATGCAGCAGGCAGGCAAGAGGCAGGGTTTCAAAGGTCCCCAGCTCGCTTCCTACTAGGAAATTCAATGGAGAAGCAGGCAGGAAACTGGAAATTGCTTCTGCTCTCACTGCCTTTTTGCCTATCATGGTCATTCTCTGTTAAGAAAAAAAATCTCTGAAATGATGACCCAATGGGGCATGGGTTGTTAGTTTAAAAAAAAAACAACCCTCTTCCAAGAGAATTCCGTATTGGTAATAAAGTAAAATAAACTGAATTAGAATGTCAGAATGTGCACTGCTATAATATTCTTACTTCAACACTATTTCTCTTAATGTAAGTATTCATGAGCTGCCCTAGAACATTGCTTAAATAAGTTCTTTGAACTAATTAAGAACGTCAAATTAAGAGAAAAGAAAAAATTAAAAAGATCTCCATTTTAAAATAAGCACACTGCTGTTACTATTTTCCCCAAACAATTCTTCCTATCTATTTTTCATCAAGATATTGCTATTATTTGGAACATGCCAGACAGGGAACTATAGAACTGTGACAGGATAGATGATTCCAATAATACATCCAGTAAACACTGAAATTCTCTGGACGAACAAATCGTAACATCTTAGGATACCCTACCTGATCCACTGTTATCAGTGCATCTGAACAACTAGGAAGAATCTGTTCAGGTAGAAGCTGACATAACTTCCCTAGAAGTAATGAAACCTCCTTCATGCTTCGCCAGCAACATACCAACACCATTTGAGCTGTGACATCATTTGTATGTTGTTCTTTACCTTAAAAAAATAAGACACAAAGCAAACATGTTACAACAGCTCTAACAATCTTTTAAAAATCATTCCACCAAGACTATTTAGCAATGTAATCTTTGAGCAATAAGGGTAAATCAACATATCCATAAGTAAGATTAAATACACTGTCAAGACAACTAAATAATTTAATTCAACCAAATAATAAAATGTACGTTTGCACAGAACTCAGTCTTGGCGTTTAAATGAATAAAGTTGACAAAACCAGCCAGGTAGAATTAGAATTAGAATTAGAACTAGATGTGACAGGTTTGAATATTCAAGAAATAGAAAGTAACTAGCCTAGAAAACAATTAAGAGATTACAGCTTGGGCTGCAGCTCAGAAGCAATACATATAAAACCTTGCAAAATTGTTGGCCCTTAAAACAATTAATCTAGTGATCTTTTGGCATCAAATTATGGTCTAGATATTTCTTTTAGGTGACTTGGTATAAGAAAGCTTCTGTGTTTCAAAACCCAGGCATATTTTCAAGAAACAGGATTTATAACCATCTCAAGTGAACGCACATTAACCTTCAAGCAACATCCTC